GTCGAGTGCCTTAACCACCTGGCCATGCCGGGCCAGCTAGGAGGGTACTAGCTACTGGTAAGTTCTTGAACTGGGCAGCATTACAAGCAGGCGCAAGTACAAACTTTGACTGAGGAAGTTCACGTGATATTCATTTCGGAAAAACAGACTTTTTGTCATGTGATAGAGCGATTACTACTCTTTTAAGACATGTGCTGTGATTTATGACATAAATACTACTTCAAATGTGGATGAAGCGTCCAATATTGGCATACCAGGTTATCGTAACATTAAATGATTTATTTCGGCATCACAGACTGTTTGTGTCAGGAAATGTTATATATCATGGAATAGGGCATTAGTTTACTTTCTCAAATGTGTTTTTTGATTTATCACATAATTAGTCCTTAATAATCCAATGCAGTTTCAAAGATTGGGTAATGAGATGCATTTAGTATTAAGTGTCGAATATCGGTATTGCAAAGTGTTTGTGTCAAGAAGTCGTATATACCATGGAATAGAGCAGTTAATGACCTCAACAAATATATGTTTTGACTTGTGACACAAAGAGTCCGTATATGTTAATGCAGTTTCAAAGATTTACTAATTAGGTTCATTTAGTATTTAATGTCGTATATCGCTATTAGAGACTGTTTGTGTCAATAAATATTACATACCATGAAAAAGAGCATTTAACACTCTTCACAAATGTGTGTTTTTATTTGTGACACCGTAACAGGTTAAGGTAGTTTGAAATATGGAGTAATGAGATGTATTTAGTATTAATTGTCGAATATCAATATTACAGACTGTTTGTGTCAAGAAATGTTTTACATCATGAAATAGGGCATTTAAAGACCTTCACAAATGTGTGTTATGATACGTGACACAGTGAGTCCTTAATTAATAAGTTAATACAGTTTCAATGATTTAGGAAGTAGGTGTATTTAGTATTCAATGTCGAATATCGGTATAACAAACTGTTTGTGTCAAGAAGTGTTTTATATCAAGGGATAGAGCATTTAATGATCTTCACAAATATGTGGTTCGAGTTGTGACACAAAGAGTCCATAATACGTTATATGCAGTTATATAGGGTGTATTCAGTATTCAGTGTCGATTATAATTATTGGTATTACAGTATTAGTAAATTCAAATGTATTTATACATAGCTTATGAAATGCGCCACATCTTCTGGTGTAATAAAAGAAACTGTAGCCCTCATCAGTAAGACTTTTAAGGTTTCTTAACTGTTATTTTTCTAAAGATTACTTTTAACTTTGTTTTTTAAAAATTTGGATATCATTCTTTTGTAGATCTGATGATTCCTCGTTTTACATTGCCCAATTTTGAGGGGTTACAGTTACATTCGATGACGAGGAACCCACTTTGAGACAAATAATGCTTGGAGACGGCTTGAATGGGTAATGAAGAAAAACTTGAATATAAGTTTAACATAACAGTTACATTGTCATTGACGTAGCATAAAAAGTTTTAAAACAAATGATATCGTAAAGTTCAGCCAAGCAAAGTATTATATTTTATTTATAACTTCATTTTAATACTACTTTTTATGTTATTATTATTTTTTACCTATTTTATGGAAAGCTTTTGAGGGCGTTTGGCTTGGTTCTGAACACCGTTTCGCCAGTCAGCGAAACTCAAAGTTTCGCGTTTTATCTAGTGCCAACAAATTACAGTTACACTGATTTATAACTCACAGTAAATTTAGACCTGAAGTGGAAATAACTTGATAACTGTACTTAATTATTAATAAAATTACATACTAAACAATGTCTGCTGAACCAGAAAAGACAAGCAAGCCAAAGAATTATAGAGTTATTCTAAAATCTCGCCCAGGTAAAACTAAAAACAAATGAGAAAATGGTTCTAACTTCTACTTCTAGTGACACTGTTCTTATTGAACTTGATTATTGATATGACTTTTTTTAACCATCTTTAGGAGTATTTCTGTAGTTATAACTTATATGTATCAAAACAAAGTTTTAACTTTAAGGCGAATGATTCGCGTAGTGTATCTATTTGAAATTTAGTCCGCTCGCAACTTCTACTGACTTTGTAATAGTTTGGCTCACCCTCCTGCGCTACGGTATATATTATCGGCGAACTAGGTGTATGATTATGATATAATTATACACATTATATTTATAATTATAATATATATTTTGATAAAGAATACTGAATATCTATTTCATTTTTCTTTACTATACTGAGAATGAGATACTACATTTCCTCAGCTACTATTAATGCAGATCATTTATGTTGTTCAATCGGTTGTAATAAATTATATTTATAATGTTTATTGTATTATTAATAATACTAATTAATATTGAAGCTTACACTTTATTGGCTGAAACTTTTGAACATACATTTAAGTAAGATGGTGATTTTTTTTGGTCTATCTAGGCCATCTCATCCACTAAATTAAATTAAACTTAAAAATAAATATAACATAAACCAGCCTTAATCTTTGAAATAGTTATATCAAACATTCCTGTAAATTCTCTTAAATTTACTGCACCCATCACACCCGACAGTAACCAAAGGCCAACCACACTGTAACTAACAGTGTTAGAGAAATAAAATTGTTTTAGCAGAAAATGAAATAACTTCTACCATGCTAAATTTGCATTTGTGTTTTGTCCATTAAGTATGAAAAAGGATGATAGATCCCCACTAACTCTTCTTTCTTCAAGAATAAAGAATTTTGGAGATCTTAACCCATCCTTGTATGACAACCTTTCCCTCCCAGTTATCATCTGAGTAGCTTTCCTCTGAACCATTTCTGACATTTCAGTGTTCTTCCTCAGGTAAGGAACCAAAGATTGAACACAGTAATCCAAAAAGTTTTGAAAACTCTCATAAAAGATGCTTTGCAAAGTCATTTAACAAAGTTTAGAATTTTATTAGATAGTTAACAAGGTTTCACTAAGGGAAAATATTGACATACAAACCTTTTGATGTTCTTTAAAAAGGTTACTGCTTATGTAGATGAGGGTAAGGGTGCAGATTAGGTGTATCAGGATTTTCAGAAAATAATTGACAAGGTGCCACATAAAAAGTTTGAAAAAAACTTATCTCTATAGATGTGGGAGATAAGTTAGCAAATTGGATAGAAGAGTGGTGGATGAAAGAAATCAAAGAGTTGTTACAAATGGAGTTCAGTCAAACTGGATTAATGTCACAAGTGGAGTACCTCGGGGCTCAGTCTTAGGATCTTTGCTCCTTTTTATTTACATCAATGATATAGATGAAGAAATTGTCAATAAATTACTTAAATTTGCAGCTGTTATTAAGGTCTTGAGTGTTGCTACTTATGAAGAGGATGCTGCTGATTTACAAAAGGATTTAGATCATTTAATGAGTTGGGTAAATAAATGGCAGATGGGTTTTAATTATAATAAATGCAAGATAATGCATGTGGGTTATCATAATTTGAATTATAAGTATAATTTTGATGGGAATAACCTCAAAATTGTTATAATATAACTTATTCAGTCCTTTGTAATTTTTAGTAAGTTAATTGATTACCTTCTTAAACTTTTGTAAAGTGCTGGACAATCACTGTTAGAAAAATAAAACTGTTCTAATTGGAGCATATCCTGTTTTTTCCAAAATTAAACTTGTAGCATTTTGCTCTGTTATCTTCAGAATACAGCACAAAGGAATCAGAGGTCTTTATCCCATTAATCTCTCAGGTAGTCTTGTAAACTTCAATAAGATTACCTCTTATCAACCTTTTCTCTAGAGAAAATAAGCTAACAGTACTTAATCTATTCCAATAAGATAATATTTTCATCCCCAGAATTATCCTAGTAGCCTTCCTCAGAACCCTTTCCAGCAAGTCAATATTTAGTTGAGGAGATCAAAATTGTACACAGTATTCCAAATGAACCCTAACTAGTGATATGCATTGAAAGATAATTACCTCCTTTTTCTTGTAATCATTATGTCAATAAATAACACCCTAAGATTCTAGTAGCTTTACTAATAGCAACAGAGTACTGCTTTGATGGCTAGGGTGATTTGTCCACCACTGTGCCAAGATTCTCTTTAGTCATTCTATTGAGTGGTTTCCCAATTGAATGAGGTCCAAATTATGATAACCCAACTGGATTTTATTTGTTAAAGGACATTTAACAAATATTTGTCGAAGTTAACAATTGATCTAAGTCATTCTGTAGGACAAAAAATGTTTTAATAAGGGCTTACTTTTGCATTCCTTAATATCTTTAATAACCTGAAAGTGAAAACTATAATTGGATTTTAAAGGTGCCAATGAAACACCAAAAGAAGAAAATTTTAGTGTGGTTTGTTGTCCATATCCTGATGATGAACTAGAAGAGGAAACTGTGTTGGTAAAATCCCTGTATATTTCTGTAGATCCTGCCATGGTAAGTTGAATACAGCAGTTTGGTATGTATAGATGTAGGTTTCTGTATATTTGTATCATATACTCTAATTAGATTGGTGCATGGTGAACTTTAACTTAAAATGAATCTTGTTTAACCAGTGTTAGTGAGAAAGTTTTAATGTGTTAGACTTATAATACAAGTTAAAAGTTGGTTGTTGAGGAGAATGATCTGTGGCCTTTATGGTTAAAAGGCTTTTGCAAATGTATTTTACTTTTGTTTTAAATATATTCTGTTCTATTTTAAATGTAAGGTTGTAGTATTTTGTAATTTATCATGTTCATCTAAGTGCTCTAATTCTTTAATATATGTTTGTATATGTTTTATGGGTTAAGGCCACTGATTTCTTCATTCAGGAGATAATAGAGTGAAAAGACACAAGTTTAAGACATGAAAAAAGAGAGAATAGGCTTCAGTTAAGACAGTTTTATTTTATCTTATCATAGTGATTGGCTTATGGAATGAATTGCCACTGGCAACAGTGGAGGCCAGCACACTCGTTTAGAAATGGTTAACAATTACTTGAAAAGCAAAGGGTGGGTTTAAATTTTTAATTTTTCCAAAGATGGGTATGCAAGGACAGCCTTCAAGGTTCAAATAGTTATTGTTCATAGGTTATAAGTTGTGTCAATTCCTATGATCTGAAGTAACTACCCATGATAGTTTTTGCACTTCAGATGGTTGATTTTTCACCCTGATTGTCAGATATTTAATTTTTGTTCACTTCTGCAAGAATGTTTTAATCACCTTAAGAGGTTCATCTTTTTGTTGATTAACTTCTTCTACTGCAGGGATAGAAATAATGAAATAAAATTACATTCACTCGAGGGAAAGCTATCAGGAAGATTACATTCCCTCATGTACAATTGCATTTTCTCATGAATTTTTTTTTATATTTAATCCATGCTGTATGTTCACTTTCATTGATCATAACTAAAGGAATATGGATGGACCATGTATTCCCAATCTGGAAGCCAACTAAAAAGATGAAATTCCTCAAGCAAAGTTAAATTCCTTGGGAATATGGGAATGTAATATTTCGAACCCTGTTTAGATATTTTCTTGTGGGTTTCTTGTAAATTTTTGTGGTATACAAGTTAGTATAACCATCATGTCTAGGAATGGGAGTTTGTTTCTTTGATTTCCTTTGTGAAATATTTGTTGAATAATGTTTGTTCTAGTGGCTTATAAGTCGTGGAATATCTTGTTTGTAGTGTGTGGTCATATTATAAATGTATCATTAGTCCAGTCCTTGGTCTTGGAGCCATTGTTTGAAAGGTGCTATTTAAATTTTCTATGCAGAGGTTACTGAGTACCGGTGAGTCCATGGCTATTTCTTCTTGCTATTTCTAAGAATAAACAAGCTTATAACATGATTTAGTTATTTTTTATGAAATTGGACACTTGGTGTTTTGTTTTCATCTTCTTCAGAAGTGTTCCATTAAACACAAATCAACTGAAACTTTGTATTACCAGTTATAGTTTGTGTTTTAGAGGAACACTCTTGAAGAAGCTGTAAAACAAAACACTGAGTGTCAAATTTCATAAAATATAACTACATTTGGTGTTGTAAGCTCATTTACTCCTAGAATTAAAATGTCTCATACTCCAGTACGCATTACCAAAATTAAAAAACAAAGTGTTGTCGTTGATAATATTTTTCCATGTTGCAAGTATGTTTAGTTGATACAGAAGATTGTGAGTTCTGTTATCATGTTGATTATCAGTTGGGTACACTACTTGATTCTTCATTGTGTTCAAGCTGTTGGATCTGTAGTGTGTTAGGTTTGGGTACTTTAGTAAGATGGATACATCAGAGTTGATCATAGTTCTTGTGATGATCTCATACTTGGTTTTTATATTCTCTGCAAAGTGTGCTGTGTCCATAACATGTGAGGCTGTTTTACCTCTTAATGGTATTATGTCTGCAAGATACCTAGCTGAGAGGTGGTATGGTGAGCCTGTGCAGTTAATAATGGAATGGAGAAGGTAGCCTTCCTTGTAAATTTTAGGTAGACTGTAAATGTGCGAGTGGTGTATACCTAGAAATGTCAACAGTACACCACCCCACATAAAGGTTGTAATGCAGGAGCATAATAAAAGTACAAGACTGTAATACCTCTCTTTCAGCAATAGCGCATTGTGTCAGAGAATGTCACACAATAAACTAGAATAATACTAAAATAATGGAACATGAACTACAGAAAAAAATAGTATTCAGCATTTAATACAGTAAGTCTTCTTTGTGCTATACAGATTTGCACTCACAAAAAAGATAGGACTATCTAAAGGTTTCGACTCCAATATCATAGATAAGGCTTGTATCAAGCTTCATAACAGTGAAAAATATTGTTAACTTTAACCTTTCACTTATCAACAACACAAAACATAAAAACTTTGTGTGAAGTTCCTTTTTGTGCCAGAAATTGCTAACAAAATTACTAGCTTTTTTAATAATTTAACCATTGATTTAAAACTGTAATCAAACCTTCACATAAAATTAGTATGTTACTACTTAATCCAAAAGAATCTCTAATCAAAAGAACAAAAATAGGGCATATACAATATCCCATGTGAATGTGGAAAGAAATACATAGGACAAACATCACGTTCCTTAGAAATAAGAAGCAAAGAACACCAAGGTCACATGTGTAGAGGTGAATTCCAGTTATCTGCTTTAATATATTGTCAGTATGAAATAGGTCACAAAATTCTTTAGGAAGGAATTCTTCTCCTACACCAACCTAAAACCAAAAGAGAAGGAGATTGGTCAGAAACTATAGAAATCATCAAAGGAAATGATCTCTCACTAAACTGTGATAATGGTCCTTGCAAAATCAGTTGTATTTAGCAAGGTCTATTCATTGCTCATACACTTGACCTCTACCTATATCCTGTCACCTGCTGACACAATTTCTGTGACAGTTAATCCCTGGTATTTATCTTTGTAACAATATATAAACCTTGTATTGCTTAGTATTGATCATACCTGAAGAAGACAGACCAATGTTCTGTCAAAACTTAGTATATTTCACCATCAATAAAACTTTTCCTTATGCTTATAAATCATTGTTTGCCAACCTGTTATTATTCATTAGCATGTGTAACATTGAAAACAGAAACCTTGTGAGCTCAGCTTGTTTTTATAGTCTAAATATGTCTAGCTCATGATTTTGTTTGTTTGAATATTGAATGCCCTCATGAGAGGTTAAACATTTAATTATTGTGGCCCTTTTGTATATTTTCACTGGATTGTTTCTCATCAGGAGAAGTCTGACACTTCTAATATTAACAAAGCATTAACTTGTTTATCTTTTAATAATAAGGAAGATGTACCTAGTTTACCTGTTAATAGTAGTAGGTTCATCTTGTTATAAGAAAGAAAAGGGTGAACAACGTTTTTGTAATGTATGGAATAAATTTGTCCAATTTTTTATGTAATATTAGAAAGGGTTATTATTGTTAACTACATAATTCTTCTTCTAGCGTTGTAGAATGAATGAAGATACAGGAGTTCATTATATACATCCATGGAATTTGGGTCAGTGTGTGGAAGGGTTTGGTGGAGTAGGAAAAGTGGAGAAAAGTAATAGTAAAAGATTTCAAGAAGGTGATATTGTCACAATGGGACTCAACTGGATGTGGCAGACATACTTTGTTTCTGAAGCTGCAGCCTTAGAGAAGGTAACAGCTGTAATATCTTGTAACAGTAGGAGAATATATTATAATAGTAGGAGAATATATTATAATAGTAGGAATACAGTAGGAGAATATATTATAATAGTAGGAATACTAGTAGGAGAATATTATTATAATAGTAGGAATACAGTAGGAGAAGTATATTATTAGTAGTATAGGAAGTACAGTAGGAGGAATATATTAGTATAGTAGGAGTACATAGGGAGAAGTATATTGTATAGTAGGAGTACATAGAGAG